GCAAAATTGTCTTTCAAATACGGCAGTGAAACTAGAACATTCCCAGATAAACAGAAATTAAGGGAATTTGTAAAAACCAGACCAACTTTACAAGAAATATTAAAGGGAGTCCTTTGGACAGAGAACAAATGACATCAGACAACATCCTGAGATTAAGACCATGTCAACACCACCCAGATACCAGCACAAAGAATTCTCAAATGTAAAATAAAGCACAAAACTGAAAACAGGGTAACAGAGATGTCAATCTGTAAATGAAAACAACTTCAAAACAAAAAGGGGAAATAAATGGTGTAGTTATACAATTTCCATATGGAGAGGAAGTCAAGGCGATATCAAGATAAAACACACTGTTTTAAACTTAGGAAGAAAAAGATAAATTTCAGAGTAACCACAAAGAAAATTAACAAATCTACTCAACAAAATAAAGAAGAAGAAAATAAAAAAAGACTTAGCAAACATAAAATCAACAACAATGAAGGAAACTAAAAGAAAATCCATAAATAAAAAGAGCTCACCACAGAAAATTAAGTGGAACAAAGAAACTGTTAACACCACAATAAAAAGCATAACAAAATGGCAGCAGAAAATTCATACCTATCAGTAATCACACTGAATATAAATGGTTTAAATGTACCAGTCAAGAGACAGAGAGTGGCAGAATGGATTAAAAAAAATGATCCATCAATATGTTGCCTACAAGAGACACACCTTAGACACAAAGAAAAAAGTATATCAAGTAAACAGTAAACAAAAGAGCAGGAGTGGCAATAATAATTACTGATAAAATAGATTTTAAGTCAAAACCTATTTTAGAGATAAAGAAGGGCATTATACAATGATTAAAGGATCAATTTACCGAGAGGACATAACCATAATAAACATGAATGTACCCAATGAAGAGCTCCAAAATACATAAAACAAACTCTAACAAATGAAAAGAGAAAGAGACAGCTCTACGTTAATAGTAGGAGACTTTAACACACATTTTCAATGATGGACAGAACAACTGGAAAGAAACTATGAAAATACAGATCTAAATAACACAATCAACCTACTCGACCTCACAGACATATACAGAACACACCACCCAACAGCAGCACAGTGCACATTCTTCTCCAATGCATATGGATCATTCTCCAGAAGAGACCATGTTTTAGACCGCAAATCAAACTTCAATAAATTCAAAAACACTGAAATAATACAAAGCATCTTCTCTGACCATCATGCTATAAAACTAGAAATCAATAAAAGAAAAAACAAGGAAAAAGATTAAATATGTGGAAATTGAATAACACCTTACTTTAAAATTATTGGGTAATAGAAGAAATTAAAAATGAAATTAAAAAATTCTTAGAATCAAATGAGAATGAAAACACAACATACCAAAACCTTTGGACATAGCAAAAACACTGCTCAGAAGAGAATTTATAGTAATTAAATGCACGCATGAAAAAAGAAGAAAGGGTCAAAATCAATAGCTTATTCTTACAAGTCAACCAAATAGAAAAGGAGCAGTAAAAGAAGTTCACAGTCACCAGAAGAAGGAAATAATAAAGATTAGAGCAGAAATAAATGAAATTGAAAACCAAAAAACAATACAATCAACAGGACTAGAAGTTGGTTCTTTGAGAGGATCAATAAAATTGATAAACCACTGGCCAAATTCACAAAGGAAAAAAATGAGAAGATGCAAATAACAAAATAAGAAATGAGATGGGTGACATTACAACAGAACCAACTGAGATAAAAAGGACCATAACAGAATATTATGAAAAATTGTCCTCCAACGAATTTGAAAATCTATAAGAAATGGACAAATTCCTAGAAACATGCTACCTTCCTAAACCAACACAATTAAAAAAACAAACAAAACCTACTGCCATCAAGTCGATTCCAACTCATAGTGACTCTATAGGAGAGAGTAGAACTGCCCCATAGGGTTTCCAAGGAGTGGCTGGTGGATTCGATTTGCCAGCCTTTTGGTTAGCAGCCAAACACTTAACTACTGGACCACCGGGGCTCCAACTAACACAATAGAGATAGAAAATTTGAATAGATCCTTAACAAAAGAAGAAATCGAAGATGTCATTAAAAAAAACTCCCAACAAAAAAAAGCCCCAGCCCAGATGGCTTCACTGGAGAATTCTACCAAACATTCAGAGAAGAGTTGACACTAATTCTACTTAAACTATTGTAGAACATAGAAAACGAAGGAATACCCCCTAATTCATTCTATGAAGCCCACATAACCTTGATACTAAAGCCAGGCAAAGATACCCTAAAAAAGAAAGGCTCAGATAGCTAAAGCTATATTGAAGAAGAAGAACAAAATAGGGGGCCTCTCATTTCCCAAGCTCAACACTTATTATACAGCCACAGCAATCAAAACAGCCTGGTATTTGCTCAATGACAGACACATAGACCAATGGAGTAGAATTGAGAACCCAGAAGTAAATCCATCCATCTGTGGGCAGCTGATCTTCAACAAAAGATCAAAGTTGATTCAATGTGAAAGAAAAAGTCTCTTTAACTAATGGTGTTGGCAAAACTGGATATCCATATGTAGAAAAATGAATCAGGATCGATACCTCACACCACATATGAAACTAATTCAAAATGGATCAAAGACCTAAATGTTAAAGCTAAAACTAAAGTTCCTGGAAGATAACATACATTCAAAACTAGGGGACCTAATATCAGGTATAAATAATCTATCAAACAAAACTAAAAATGTACAAATGACAGAAGGTAAATTAAACAACTGGGACCTCCTATGAAATATTTATGTACTTCAAAAGAGTTTACCAAGAGAGTAAAAAGAGAATTTATAGAATGGGAAAAAATCTTTGACAATGACATATCTGATAAGGTTTAATCTCTAAAATATATAGAAAACTTCAACAACTTAACAACAAAAAGACAAACAATCCAATCAAAAAGTGGGCAAAGAACATGAACAGACAATTCACCAAAGAGGACATTCAGGCGGCCAACAAATACATGAAAAGATGCTCACGATCATTAGCCATTAGAGGGATGCAAATCAAAACTTATACCATTTCACCCTGCGAAAATGGCAATGATCAAACAAATAAATAAATAAAACAATAAACGTAGGTGAGGTTTTGGGGGGATTAGAACACTTATACATTGCTGGTGGGATTGCAAAATTGTACAACCACTATGGAAAACAGTATGGCACTTCCTCAAAAAGCTAGAAATAGAAATATCTTATGATCCAGCAATCCCACTCCTATGTATATATCCTAGAGATATAAGAGCAGTGACATGAATAGACATATGCACACCTACGTTCATTGCAGCATTATTCACGATAGCAAAAAGATCGAAACAACCTAAGTGCTCATCAACAGATGAATGGATAGACAAATTGTGGTACATATATACAATGGAATACTATGCAACTGTAAAGAATAATAAGGAGTCCGTCAAACATCTTACAACATGGATGAATCTGGAGGACATTATGCTAGTGAATTAAGTCAATCACAAAAGGACAAATATTGTATGGTCTCACTTTTATAAAAAGTCAAGAATAGATATACACACAGAAAGCAATGTTCTTTGATGGTTACCAGGGGTGGGAGAGTGAGGGAGGGGAATCACTTTCTAGATAGTAGACACTTATTTTTGGTGATGGGAAACACAATACCCAGTATGACTGAAGTCTGCACAACTTGTCCAAGGTAAATGAAGACACTAAGAAGTAAACAATAATAAGAAGTAAACAAGAATAAGGGGCAATTTTGGTAAACGCTATAATATACAATTTTGCAACAAGAATAACAACAACCAAAAAAATATTGTGTGGTTACATAGGTAGACATATATGCATGTATGTGTGTAAGAAGTCACATGTGAGTATATGGGTGTGCAAGTATGGGTGCAACTGTAGGTGCATATGTATGTACATGTTTATGTAAGTTGCATATATACTCATATATATAATAAACCTCATGGGGGCACAGTTACAGATACATCCTAGACAAAACCAAACACCTCATGGGATTGGTTTACTGGATTTGAAGGCTTGGGACCATAGTCTTGTGGGACAACTTGGTCAACTGGCAAAACATAGTTTAAAAAGGTAATGTTCTTCATCCTAGTTTGGTAAGTAGTGTCTGGGGTCTTAAAAGCTTGCAAGCGGCCATCTAAGATGCAGCTATTGGTCTCTACTCATCTGGAATGAAAGAGAATAAAGGAAACCAAAGACTCAAAGAAGAAACTAGTTCACAGGACTAATAGCCCACATGAACCATGGCCTCATCTAGCCTGGGACCAGAAGGACTAGATGGTACCCAGCTACCACTACCGACCACTCTGACCAGGGACACAACAGAAGGTCCTGGTTAGAATGAGAGAAAAATGTAGAAAACTCAAATTCATAAAAAAGACTAGACTTACTGAACTGATAGAGACTAGAGGAAGCGCCAAGACTATCACCTTAAGACACCCTTTGAATTTGGAACTGAAGCCACTCCTGATGGTCACTTTTCATCCAAATAATAGATTGGCTTATAAAAAAACCCAGTATCACCCATGAATATTGTGTTCTCTTAAATAATCAACTATAAGAGACCAAACAATCAACACTTACCCTAAAACAAAGATGAGATGCTAAGGAGGGACAGGGAAGCTAGATCAATGGAAACAGAACAAAAAGAATGGAAGTAATGAGAATGTTGACAAACTGTGACTGACACTTTATAGCTCCCACTCTTTAGACTTGCGAGAAAATTTCCATGATGTTCATATTTCTCTAGGAAGTTTTAACGTCATTCAGAGAAATGAAGCTATAAAGAAATTGTTTATGAATTAGATGGAATGATAAGTATAATTGGCTGAATTCTCTGGCTTTTTTTTCGGGGATTTCCATTTGCAACAAAAGTATATGGTTATTCCCGGAAATTCCACTCCTAGGTACATACCTAAGGGAATTGAAAATGTATGTCCACACAAAAGCTTGCACACAAATGTTCATAGCAGCATTATTCATAATAGCCAAAAAATGAAACAACCCAAATACTCATTAACTAATGAATGAATAAGCAAAATGTAGTATATCCATACAATGGAAAATTATTTGGTCATAAAATGAAATGAAGTAGTGATACATGCTACACATCATGGATGAACCTTAAAAACATTATGCTAAGTGAAGAAGCCAGACACAAAAAGTCACACAGTGTTTGATTCCTTTTATATGATATGTCCAGAATAAGGAAATCCATAGAGACAAAAAGTAGGTTAGTAGTTGTCAAGGGCTGGAGGAAGGGTGGATGCAGAGTGACTGTTAAAGAGTATGGAGTTTCTTTTTGAGGTGATGAAAATGTTATGGAATTAGAAAGTGGTGAAAGTTGCACAACTTTGTGAATATTCTAAAACCATTGAATTGTAAACTTTAAAAGGGTGAACTTTGTGGTATGTAAATTATAATAAAGCTGTTTTTTAAAAAGTATATGGTTATTCTAACCTATTTATATTAAATTTCTAAAGAAGATTTCATGTTCTGCTAAAAGGTGATAGGATCCAGTATACCTAGCATATATATGAATCATCCCAAAAAATTGTTTAATGAAAAACTTTGTTTCAAAACACCATTCTCACTACAGTGATAAAACAGAAAAAAACAAAATAAATTTTAAACGTACATATATTTAAAAAATTAAAACACCTAAGAAATGCAATCTATACATGTGAAAAAAGTAAAATATTTATGTGCATAACAAGTAGTAGCAACATTATCCATAAGCAGCAGTTAGTGTTTATTTTTCCCATATTTTTGTTTAAGACCATACTGGTAGTTTATTCCTTTTAGGGAAATTGCATAAGGTACATATAGCATATTATGAGTAAGTTATAGAAGATGTATAATTGGAAAATTAATTCCAAATAACAGTATTTCCTCTGAAAACACATTGTTAAACAAATTATTTTAAACTAGAGGACAATAAAATGAATCTATAATTTAAAAGTCCAAGATATATAGTCAACTTGCATAAAATTACATATGGCATTTTAAAAACAGCCTATTTCTAAAATATCAGTAATTCAGGCAATTGGGATTTCCATGGGATATAAATTTCCATTTATTTCCTTTTTATGAAGAAAAGGTCTACATTATGAAGGTTGCAACTATGTTACTAAGAAATGCTATGGCATACTTTAAAAATCAAAATGGTGAAACATATGCATCAGGATATTCTTTTACCAGGTACCAGCCCTGTACCAGCATTTTAAAAGGTAATTTAAATCTAGTTAACCACATTTCCGAATTACTTAGGTTGTTAATCTTCCCCTAAAATACATTTCATATGTAGAGTTTAGTTAAGAATTATAAGTTGGAACTTATACTGAAAATCTAAAGATATAAGAAATAAAGTACTCAGATAAGTCTAGTACTTTATTGAAAATATATATGGAAATATATATACTGACTCCACAAAAACAATTAACTTGTACATGTAAGCAAAATACAAAAATTTCTGATTTGGGAAAAATGAAATAAAATACAGTGAGTGGTTTTCTCTTAATTTCTAACTGTAAAAATCCCTTTTGCCTATTTATTTGACCCATCTATATTCATGCAATTTAACGAGCCCTCAAAAGAATTTACACATCTTTATACAGAATTCACATCTACATCAGTAAACTGCCAGTCCTTTTATATTTTCAGTGCCTTGTCAAAATATGGGTAACAAAGTTCTTCATTCTATGAGGCAGGAAGATGTTTCCTAAGTATTTCTTTTGATGATGAAGATATAGTATCTGGGAAGGACACCTCAAATTCTATTAGAAGGTCACCACGTTGGTCAGGATTTTTTGGAAATGGTAGCCCATATCCAATAATTCTTCTCCTCATTCCAGGTTTCACAATATCATTTAATGACATAGGTATGGTTCTTCCATCCATTGTTGGTACATTAACTGAGCAGCCACACAATGCCTAAAATGGATCAAATAAAATAAAATTAAACTTCAAAACTTAGAAATGTAAACAAAAAAATTTCCAGGTGGTAAAGGATGATACCACTAAATTTTTAAGCTCTAAAAGAATCAGTAGTTATAAAATGTTTTCCCCATTAGAAAATCTCTTAAAAATATGCATTATCAGATGTGTTATCAAAAAATACACAGGACAGGAAAGGAAAGGATGCCCTTCATATAGCCATGAAATAAAATAGATAGGTTTGAGACTACTATTATAACATTCAAGATGCAGGGATGGAATGGGAGAAAAGAAGAGGGAGAAATTCAGAGCTGGGACAAGAGATATATTTATTGTTTTATTCAACAAATGTTTACTGAGTCTATTCTATGACACACATTCCTGCTAAATGCTGAGCATACAGGCACCACTGACATAGACTCCACCTTAAGAAACGCACAACCTGCTGGAAGAGACATATAAGCAAACTAGCAAATGTAATACAGTATAATGCTGCCATAGAGCTATGTGCAGAAGCCTCTTGTGAGAAGATGGGTACCTGACTTACCCCTAGCTTTTGGGAGTACAGAATGCTTAAGCTAAACAATGACCAGTAGCAGGTATTGGGGCAGAATGAGGAACAACAGTATTCCATAGAACAGAACTCAGACAATGACACAGATGTATATAAAAGAATAATAGAAAAAACATAGGGAAATGCATTTAAGGGTAGAAAGCAGGTTACAACAGCCTTTTATTTTAAGCTAGGGTTTAGACTTTATGGTAGATGCTATGTGGAGCCATTTAAAAAATTTAAGCAAGGAACTGACATGACCAGATTTGCAGGATTACAATCCAATTTGAAAAATAGTGCCTAATAACAGAGTAAGAACTCATATATTAAGGCAGTACATTTATTAATTATTTTGTCTTTTAATATGTTTAATATCTTTGTTACACAATTATAATTCCAAATTAACAATTTTGGAAAAATCTTACAGATGGGCTAAAATGATAAGATTACCAAGGTAGATCTCATAAACCATACTTCTAAAAACCGAATAGAGTTAGTTAACCCAACATTAAGCACCATAGTACATAATCCAGTTAGCACTTAAATTTGACATTTAAATTGTTAGGATAGGTAATTAAACTTAGAAAATATAACCTCATCCATAAAAGAGGTATAACAGTAGTACAATCTCACAGGGTTGTATGAGGATTTAAAAAATAATGTGTATTAAGCACTGAATAAATGTTAACTATTATTTAGATAAATTCCCTAAGATCAGCTGCATGATTCTGTTTGGTCTCAGAATTTCAAGGTCCTACAAACTTACCTCTCTTAAACTAATTTTAGCATTATAAATTATATTTGATCCATCCCTTTTAAATTTTGGGTGATCTTTATCTTTAATGATAAAAACGATGTCTGCGGGAATACTATTTGGTGTTTCATCTCCTTCTCTTGGAAAAGTAATTTTGGTGCCTTCTTTCCACCCTTTTTTAATCTCAATGGTGAGAATTTTGTCCTCAGATCTATAACTCCTTCCATCAGGATTTAACCTTTTTCGAGAAATCTTCATCCGTTTGGTACAACCACTATATATTTCTTCAAGTGATACTCTAAGTTCATGAATAACTGGAGGATCTTGTTTGAGGCGCGATGGTCCCACAGAATTCCTGTCTCTTGGATATCCATTCATGCTGAATCCAAAGGCACTAAAAGGGTCCCCATCTACTTCCATATCTTCAGAATCTCTACCACCAGCCATTCGTCTTCCAAAGAAAATTTCAAAGGGGTTGGAACCTCCAAAAAATGCTGCAAATGTGGCATGAGGATCTCCATGAAAGGTGTACCGGAAGGTACCACCTTGTCCGTCAGTACCTCCTGCTCCTCCTTTCAACCCTAAGTGAAAGAGATAAGCATGATTAGAAAAGACTTTGCAACCCTTGAAAGTTAAACTTTTTAAAATGTTATTGCTAATAAATGTTGGCCAACTTAGGTTGCAATTTATTAATACTGACAAGAAAGGACATTATAACTAAATAAAGAACAGCTATATAACTTCTAATGATTCCTTCCTAAATTAAATTTTTAGCTTTCAAATTCTTTCTCCAAATCCTTAGCTTTAGTGATTATTTATTTCTGATCACTGTTCCAATGGTGAATAAGAAAAACAAAATAAAATCAGAAACCTATCTTATAAACTACTGGTTTGGCATACTGAGGTATATAAATTTAAGTATTTAAAAGATGTCAGTTAAAAGGTCTTCAGTAACCAATGCAAGATGCAAAACTAAATATTTAAGTGCCATTGTAACCAATAAGTACAATCAATAATATAAAATACCAAATTCATACTAAACAGCTTTACTAGTTAACCCAAGTAACTTCTACTCTTTACTGTTTAAGAATTAAAATAGGATTCTTTCTGTGGCAGAATGGGAAAAATATTCTAATAATGAGGACAGCCTATGAAACTATTTTTTTAGACAGTAAAATGGTTATCCCTATCCTAGATTCCAAAATTGTTTATCTAGGCATTTCTTGCCATATTATCAATTTTAGCAGCATGTAAAAAGGAGACTGAAATCAAGAGCTGTAAACCGTCATGACATGTAAGGCCTTTGGGCTGGTTATTTCTGTCTGGACAATCCACTTCAGATAGCTAGTGACCCTCTGACACTACTGTGTGGTTAAATATCCTTATTTGCTTTAACGTTCTACTAAGTAATATGTAGTTCACAGAGATCACATATTTCAAACTACATTTTCCACTATATACCAAAGAAATATCTCTACTAAAATCCACAAAACAATAGTATAGTGATCTTTTAAGGGGCCAATAATGGCAAGGATTTATATCATTACAGTATCAGCAAAGTTTCTGAGTGAGCCTTACAGGAATTCCTTACCAAGGAAACGAACCAAAAATTATAAATCTAAAAAGTAGAAAACCATGAAAAATGTAAGAGATTAAACTAGGAGATTCCAATAACCTCCAATATGTCCAAAAAGTGAGTAATCTGAGGGAAGGACATATATTTTATTGATTTTTGCTTTGCTCATGCATACAGGGCAGAAACATGATAGGCACTCATGTTTACTGAATGAATCAATTCTTACTGTCCTCCTAAACCAAACTAAAAAAGGTGTCTTGATTATCAGGATAAAGAAGGCAGAAGTAAAAGCATTTTGTGTGTGTGTGTGTGTGTGTGTGTGTGTGTGTGTGTATATATTTTTTCACACATACATATATGTGAGAGATTTAATAATTAAAAGTTTCACTAAAAACACTCAATATGCTTTCAAAGAGAATGAGTTTTTCCAGTCTTGTTTTATATTTGGCTCCTCCCATTAAAAGGTATACATACACACACACACTCTCTCTATTTGATCTAAGAAAGCCTCAGCTGATCTCTAAAGTTCACTTCCATCCATAAATAGAAATCTGGAGAGATCAAAAGAGACCTAATAATCTGAGAATAATCAAAATATGCATTGAATGATATATTCAAATAGCACCTAAGGGAAAATCCATGTAGAAACAGAATGACAAGTATAAGGTGGACAAGAAATTTTAACATGCAACTCATACAAAACTTCCTTTTATAAATTTCAGTGGTATAATTATGATAACAACTCCCAGTGTTAAAAAGCTAGTGACTTTTTTTAATGGTAGGATATGTATATAACTCAAGGTCACGACAATGTGACTAAACCAATTCTTAAGTTATTTCAATCATTTTAACTTTTATCCCATGGATTAAGAGTGTAATAATTTAACAGTGTTAATAGTTTGCTCACTTTAACATTCTATCATACAAAATCTAAATGTTTTTGAACCCATAATGGAATCATGAAAACAAAGAATATTGTAAATTATTATATCATGGGTTTGGGTTTTTCTTAAAACCTTTTCCGTACTCCACTAAAAATGATAACTCAATCAGGATTACAGAATCCCTGAGAAGATTCACACACTGTCTGAAGTAACTTATTTATCAAAGTTGACAAAAAGCCTCTCATGCAGCTCTGAGGTTTTCCTAGACACTAAACAGTCAACTGCATAACAAAGGGCAAGGCTACTATAACGGGGCAGAGAAATCCCACCAAAATCAATGTCACTATAATACAACATGAATTATTATATAAGTGTCACTTGCACTGCTTAAGCCTTGAATAATAATAGGCATGTCATTAACTGTATAGTCAACTCTTAATTACCTATATTTCGACTGCTCATAAAAAATTGTAATATTCAACTGGATTCCCTCAAATAATATTCCCTGGATTTCCAAAATGTTTTCTAGACACCATCACCACTTTGTATGATCAAGGAATACACTCTAGAATCAATATTAACCTGTGTTTTAGCAGGACTGCTATTATTTAAAAAACAACCAACCAACAAATCTGCAATCCAAACAAATATGTGTTTGGGATACTATCTATAACAATGAATTCCCCTAGTTAGATGAGTTGACTATAAGTTTATCAGAAAGAGAAACACTGGGAAAAAACAGAATTTCAAAGAAAAAATAAAATTTTAATAACTCTTTAAGGAAACCTAGTATGTAAAAATCCAGATTTATAGCAAGGCTTACAGAAAGTTACTAAAATGAGACTCTTTAAACAGTTTTTGATTGGAAAAAAAAATCTATTTTACTTACATATTTTTAGAAACACACAGTAAATAAAGAGAGCCAGTGGATTAAATATATAAGTAAAAGAACAAAAGAAGCAAGCTAGTATAAAAATTAACATACTAAATAAAAGTTTGATCATATAAATACTACCTTTCTGTATTTAAAGTAAGTCACTGAGTAAACTATAAACAATAAACAAAAAAAGAAAAGCATAAAGAAAGAGAAATGTTAGAGAACTAGAATAAATACCCAACTATAAGGAAATGTTACTGAAAGTCTTTTAGTGCAAACTTCAGTTGACATCCATGGAACCATTCAGAACTAAATCTAAGACTTTTTGGGAGATACTGATTTAAAGTTTGATTTTAAATTTCTGTAGTTCTATGTTTTTTGTTTTCAAATGATTGAACTGTGGATAAAATGTGGATAAAAATAGTTTTATTTATTACAGACCATAAAATTCAGCCATTGTAGACATAAAATGATACTCGTGAAGAGTGTGCTTCTTAGTGCAAGTAGATACATGAGACTAAATAGGCAGTTTCTGTCCGGAAGTGAGATGAGAAGGCAGAGAGGGACAGGAGCTGGCTGAATGGACATGGGAAATCGGGGTGGAGAGGAGGAGTGTGCTGTCACAGTATAGGGAGAGCAATTAGGGTCACATAACCATGTATGTATAAATTTTTGTATGAGATACTAACTTGAATTGTAAACTTTCACTTAAACTACAACAATAAAAAAAATTTTTTTAAATTCACCCATTGTAAAATGCAATTCAATTATTTTAGTAAATTTATAGAGTTGTGCAACTATCACCACAATTCAGTTTTAGAACATTGCCACTATTGCAAATTGTTTCCCAGTTTCTATTTGTAGTTAATCTCCACTCCCACCACCAGCTCTAGGTAATCACTGATCTTCTTTCCGTCTCTATAAATTTGTCTTTTCTAAACATTTCATATAAATGGAGTCATACAATATGTAGTCTTTTACATCTAGCTTCTGTCACTTAGCATAATTTTTGAGTTCCACTTATGTTGTAGCAAGTTTCATTAAATCAGTCCGTTTAATTGCTCAGTAGTATTCCAGTGTATAGATACACCACATTTTGTTTATCCATTCATCAACTGATGGGACTTCTGGATTGTTTCCAGTTTGGGGTCATAACAAATAATGCTGCTATGAACATTCACACACGCGTCTTTGTGTAGACATACGGTTTCATTTCTCTTGTGCAGATTCCTAGGATTGGAATTGCTGGGCCATATGGTCAGTTTAAAACATCTCTATTTTTATTCAACTGTTTAACCCAAAACTTTAAATTGTGGATATGAGAGACGTTCAGAACATAAATAAACTGGACTACTGGTTCTCTTAGTTCCTAAATATCTAAATTTAGCATATTTGGTTCGTACTCTTCTCAACTCATGATTCCCTATTCCCAGTGCCCATTGCCCCAGGCCCCAAGTCTTAAAATAGAGTACAATAATTGAAAAAAAAAAGTATATCAGGTGAATTAGTAATGGCTTCACAGTCCTAAAATTCAGTGTTTTATAACTATTGGGGAAACATATAAAACAGTGGCTACAAACAAGGCCTGCAGGTACAACAGATCAATGAAAGGCAAAGAGAAAAAATGGTTTCCCATACTTTCACAATGTCCTTAAAGGGGAATTTTTAAAAGAATTAATGAGATGCTCCGAATAAAAAGCAAATAAATACAACAATTTTCTCTGAAGAAAAATAACTTTCATTCAACCATATTTCCAAGTGACCTATTACTAGAGAATGACATTTCTGAATATACTTCTATGCTTTAAAAAGCCTATTCTCCTCTTAATCTTTCCTCTTACTGCTTATATCAGATTCTGAGTCAAAAAGGGAAAAAGATTGATCCTGGTTTAGTTTTTAAAAAATATCCTCACTAGTGATGATCAGTAAACATTATACTGGAGAATTAGCACTCAAGAAAAGCATTATTTGAGGTAATCTTTAAACCTTAAACCAAAAATATCTCCTGAAGTCTCCTTAAAACCAAACAATAAATAGTTTAGCTTAACCAGTAAAGAATGTCTGCCTTCAGCATTGTGCTCTTTTAAAATCTATCTATGTGGGATCAAATTGACAATAGCAACTCAAATGATTAGATAGGAAACTTAGGGGGCAGTGAGTTTATGTTACCAGGGGAGGAACAACTCAGAAAAGGAAGGTGAGAATTGTTGCACAACTCGAATGTAATCAATGTCAGTAAATTGTACAAGAAAAAATTGTTGACTTGGTGTATATTCTGCTGTGTATATTATAAACTACAACAGAAATAAATTATATAACAAAAGAAAAGCACTCACTATTAGGAGGTAATGTTAAGCCAAGAAAAATGTATTCTCTGGTGACTTGAAAATTATGAAGGTAAATATCCTAAATAAACAATGAATCCTATGGCTTAGTCATACCCAAACTTGAGCTAGCAATGAAATGTGGCCAAATACCTTAGATTCAAAGCAGTGGCTATCTGCTATTCTATGGGAATTTATAGTGTTACTCTACGTGGATTTCTTTACAAAATGCAAAATATTATTTTCAGAAAGAGTAGTATATTGTTGGTAGCATCTCAGAATTTTGCTTAGCGTTTGAGATGAACCAGACGATGGCATTTTGCGTGGTACGGCCATAGGGAACATGGTATATCCAGGCAGAGTTGGACTGCTCACTATTTGCTTTTTGCAGTATTTACTTTGTAAGAACCTGACACTGAAGGGCCTTATCACACGAAAATCAGCAGCATAAACATCAACGAGGCTAAGTTTTGACAATTTACAGCTAACTACAACAACAAAATCCTCTATACACAATCACCCTGCTTGTCTAAATTTAATATTTTTAATTTCAAAAGAGTATAGTCACTGTTTGACTGTATTTTTTTTTCATTGTAGTTTAGATGAAGGTTTACAGTGCTTGACTGTATTTTTAAGGATACATTTCTAATTAGGAAAATTTAACATTAAACGCAATAAAAGAAACAAAGGGATACAAAAAAAGTTTCTATAATTGTAATGATTCAAAAGAAAACATTTTGGGGGAACAGTTAATAATAAAATAATGGTCTTCATTCAAAAAGTTGAAAATTCCAGAATAAAAATTAATTTTTTTAATTAGCAATTTTAAAATATTTACTTTAGCAAAGAAATATTCTTATATATTGTAAGAATAGAAATATTCTTATATAGTCTTACAGCTACATTAAGGAGAGTGCCTTTAGAATTTATATGGAGATGGACAAATTTAATTTAAAATCCAGAATGATAAAAGGATAATCTTAAATTACCCTCATTTACAGTGTTCCACTAGTTTCTGATCTCACAATGCAAGAAATAAAAGTATAACAGGGAGAGGGAAGAGAAGATGTTATGCTTTACTCTACACCTAGATAGTATAATCTCAAAAGAAATGTTACCTAAATTAAAAATTGTTCCAACTCTAGGTGGTCATTTTAGGTTAAAAATTGTATTTTTGAAAACATTTTCTTGGCACACAATTACTGTTTACAATTAAGCTAAAAACTTGTTCTGGTATTTTATGACATCAGGAAAATTCTTTCCTCTCCAGGCAAAATGCCAAAAACAACTAGAGGCTAACTGCCTGGGCCTTCTGCTTCTAAGGAAACGGTTCTATCTTGTTCAGTCTAAACTAGCTTTGCTATAAGAAAGGCAAAAAACTTCTTTTTGTATTTGTGAATAAAATATAAGCTGCCCAGAATTTAAAGTGCCAATTTTAAGCTCTTAAATGATTAAAGGCTTTTTATTGCTTCTGGGAGAAAATTCATTAGAAAACAAAACAGGTTGCATAAGACTTTTGACATAATTCTTAACAGGTATGGGAATTTCAGGTCTTTAAAATATACAATGTTAACATCATAAATCTAAGGTTAGAATATGTATAATACAAAATACTAAAACAAAAAAAGGCAAACAAGTACATTTCATTCATAGTTATGCAATATTCATTCATATGATCTAGAATGAAATCTTGTTTTTATCCATTATTTGTCTTTCTACTTTTGATATGTCCAAGAATCCAACTTAATGATAACCATAAAGGCTGAGAAAGAAAGGAAGAAAAAGACAGAAAGATAACAGAGACGAAGAGATAGAATAAACAGAATACTTACCTTCTTCCCCAAATTGATCATATATTTCTCTCTTTTTAGGATCACTCAATACTTCATAAGCTTCTGCGACCTCTTTAAATTTTTCCTCTGCCTGAGGAGATTTGTTCTTGTCCGGATGAAATTTGAGGGCTTGTTTTCGGTAAGCCTTTTTAATATCTTCATCTGAAGCTCCTTTTTCAATTCCCAAAATGCAATAATAGTCTTTCCCCATTTCGAATGCCTTGAAATGAACTTAGATTTCCCTTTGTAAAAGAGAACAGCGTCCCCAGTCTTAGCAATACAATGACTCTAAGAAAAATAAACCAAGCTGTGTATTTTAAAAGTTAAAGCAAATCAGCAATTCAGCTAGCTGTCTTACTGCAGCAAGCAGACAGCGCTTCTCTATTTAATTCCCTCCCAACAGCTCACTTACAGATAAATATACACTACACAGGAGACAGCCTCCTTCTAGATCCTCCCATTTTCACTACGTGTCTCTGTACTTTCTAGAACAGCAAATGCTACAGGACGTCACTTCCCCAGCTGCCTCTAGTCAAAGTACCGAGCTACGCTTTCTCCTCCTTCACAATTAACTATTCATTTTCCCTCCGGCTCTATCATTTTTATTTCCTTTCTAAAAGGTCAAGTGGATTAAGAAACCAATATGTCAGCACACAATGCGATAACTACATATTTATTTACTCCATTGTAGGTGAAAAAGCAACAAAAAAATGTACAGCTATTTAGCATATTATGTTAAAATAAGTTATTATAGAAATAAAAGTATCCTTGAACTTATTTTATGAATTTCAATTTCAAGCTATTCAATACTAAAATTTGGTTTGTTTACATTAATATTTTTAAATAATTTGTGTCATTTTCAAAATTCCTGGGGTCTATAAATCAGAAATGCCAGAAGTCAATATAACAATTTTACATTGTAAAAAGGATATGTATCATAAAATTTAAAAGCAATATTTTAAAGCAAGTAAAGGGCTTAAATAAGATTTTAATGCTACATAGCTTTCTGTAGTACACAAAAGTTAATAGTTCTAACAAACCAATATTTATTTGTGAAAACTTAATATCCAATTTAGTTACTTCATCTAAAACAGAGTGAGACTTCCTACTCCTAGATCACTGTTTAAGGAAATTTTGTGCAGCAGTAATGCTAGGAGAACAGTGTCAGTACAGTTACAGTAAACAGTACGCATTCATGTTCCTTATAAGACCTTAACTGGATTAACTTAAAATCTAAATATACTATTTAAACCCAAACCCACTGCTGTCTAGTCAATTCCAACTTACAGTGACCTTATAGCACAGAGTAGAACTGCCCCATAGGGTTTCCAAGGCTGTAAATCTTTACAGAAGCAGACTGCCACATCTTTCTCCCGTGGAGCAGCTGGTGGATTTGAATTGCTGACCTTTCAGTTATCAGATGAGTGCTTAACCACTGTGCCACCAGGGCTCCTCTAAGGGGCAGTAGTATGACAAATATTTTTTCTTTTAAAAGCACATTTTTCCTAATTATAAATGTAAATATATACTCATTGTAGAAGATTACTGGAAAACACAGAAGGAAAAAGAAAAATCTACCATACTATTTTCAGTAATCTTTGCCAAATGTTAGTATATTTCTCTCTAGTCCTTTTTTCTACAAATATTTATGGTTATTTGCATTAGTTCATTTTTTGTTTGTTTGTTAACAAAGTTTAGATCATAGCATTTTTAACTCCTTTAACTCCTGCCTTCTTTAAAACATATTTTAGATTTTTATAAGGATTTTTTGCAATGTCTATAACTTATCTCCTGACATGTTTCTCTCATATTTTCCAAAATATTCCCATTTCTAAAGTAATATTGGAAAGCTGAGCTAATAACAAAATAAATGTACATATATATTTAGAATGAAAAGGTGATCACATGTTAACCTTTAAAGATATGTGAACACTTACTCCATATGCCACACAGCTTTACATTAAAAATCCAGCAATTTTTTCTGAATGTTTATCCTTGTGCATTCTGACATCTATGATTTTTTTTATTGTACTTTAGATAAAGGTTTACAGAGCAAATTAGTTTCTCATTAAACAATTAATACACATATTGTTTTGTGACACTGGTTGCCAACCCCACGACATGTCAACACTCTCCTCCTCTAGACCTTGGTTTCCCCATTACCAGCTTTCTTGTCCCCTCCTACCATTCTCATCCCTGCCCCTGAGCTGGTGTGCCCAATTAGTCTCATTTTGTTTTATGAGCCTGTCTAATCTTTGGCTGAAGGGTGATCCTCAGGAGTGACTTCAGTACTGAGTTAAAAGGGTATCCAGGGCCATACTCTCAGGGTTTCTCCAGTTTCTGTCAGAGCAGTTAAGTCTGGTCTACATTTTTCTCCAGCTCTGTCCAGGACTCTATATTGTGATTCCTGTCACAGCAGTTGGTGGTGGTAGCCGGGCACCATCTAGTTGTACTGGACTCAGTCTGACATCTATGATTTCTTATTTCTAAAAACTCTATACTTTAAAAACACCTTGGTATTAAAAATTTATAACATCTATCTAGCCTACTTACAGATTACAGAGATTTGTCACCTATTCAGCAAATTTTTTAGTCCTACCAAGGAATATTTAATACAAAAAAAAAAAACTTTCAAATCCAAAAAAAACTTAGACAAAACCGCTTATATCTGAAGTCACTTGAGGAGTCCTACTCTCAAAAAAGCATATGCCAAGTTGGGGTCCACTGCAAGGATCATCATCTAGAGTAGAGTAAAAATATAATTAAAATCACCTATTCTACAATTAATTTCCACAGGAATTCCTTTTAATATTCATTACCAAAGGAACTCTGACATTACTATGAAAAACCTCAAATTGTTCTGGTGGGTAATGCTGGGAGGGGAAAAAAAAAGAACTTACCTGGTTCAGAGATATATTTTCAGAGAGTTAGAGGTATTGTCAGGACTTGAGATATTAAATGGTTAAAAAAAAAAAAACACACAAATAAAAAACATTAAAAGATAGAACCCAAAGACTAAGCCTTTCACATTTGTTAGAAATGCATTATATATTAACTGATGGAAAGAAATCTGGCTCTCCAAACATAAATTAGGGTGACACGGATTTTCATATTTCCTCAAATAGCACACACAAAACAGAATCATAGTGGTAAAGTTGAAATGCAAGAATTCATCTCAACTTGGAAATTTTAAGTTAATAAGGAAACAAATATAATTTTGATTCAAGACCATTAAATAATAAAACTACAGAATATCAAATTCTTATGGAATACAGATTTTCTGGAGCCATGAAGTCTAGATGAACCCTTCAAACTATTGCCCTGAGATAATCTTTAAACCTTAAACCAAAAATATCCCTGAAGTCTTCTTAAAACCGAACAATACCGTATTTTACACAAATAACACTTACCTTCTATGTTTGTTTGCCAACTGCGCCCTCCCCTGACCGAGGTATTTTTGTAAGCGCTGCTATGCCAATTTTTTTTATGTTGCTGTAAAAAAAAATAAGCATAGCGTGCTTATGAAATGCTACACGAGGGGAGGGCGCAGTTGGCAAACACACATAGAAGGTGTGCGTTATGTGCAGAAAACTACAGTAGTTTTAGCTTAACTAGTAAAGAATGCCTGCCTTGAGCATTATGCTCTTTTAAGAACTATCTATATGGAATCAAATTGACAATAGCAACTCAAAAGACTAGACAGGAATCTTAGGGGGCAGTCAGTTTATATTCATTAATGGGGGAGGAACATCTCAGAAAAAGAGGGTAAGAATGGTTGCATACTCAAAGAATGTAATCAATGTCACTGAACTCAAAGAATGTAATCAATGTCACTGAACTGTACATGTAGAAACTGTTGAATTGGTGTATATTTTGTTGTGTATATTCTCAACAACAAAAACATAATAAAATAAATTATTTAAAAAATTTCATCTGGCTAGGTTTTGGTAAAAAGAGCAGTTACTTGCACATTTGTAGTTTTGTAAGGCTTTGAAATAGTTTTTTAAACATTTGGCAATAGCTATTAAAAAAGACACCAAAAATAATTTTAAAAGCCCTGAAAATACCCATCCTGGAAATTTAACCTTAGAAAATAATTCAAAGAAGAAATTATTATACAGGTAGTCCCTAACTTAAGATGGGGTTCTATTCCAACAACTCCATTATAAGTTGGTTCTGACATAAGTCGAATACATCATTTTTTTTTTTTTTTTTGGTTTTCATTATTATTGCCTTTTATTATCAGTATTTTTATAAATCTGATCTTTATTTGTCTTTGGGGTTTGGAAACATTATATATAAACTTACAAATATGTTTGAACATTGTATTTAGTACATACTACTAATGATAAAGCAAAAAAACCCCAAACCAAACCCGTTACCATTAAGTCGATTCCAACTCATAGCGACCTTATAGGACAGAGAACCGCCCCATACGGTTTCCAAGGAGCAGCTGGTGGATTCGATTTGCCAACCTTTTGGTTAGCAGCTGATCTCTTAACCACTGCGCCATCAGGGCTCCATTACGAATGATAAGATGTACAAAAAAACAGATGGTTTTAAGTGCAGTTTATAGTAACTCAAATACGTCGTAAGTTGGGGACTACCTGTATATACAAATATACTCATTGTAATTAGCAGCAATAGAGTAATGGATCAACTATGATAATTACTAAAACTACAAAGTACTTCAGAGACATTTTACTATTACATCTCCTTTTTCAGACTGACCTGTCCTTCTACTACTTATTGGTTAAAAATCCATTACATATCACTTTACATTAGAATTTGTTCATCCAACTTGTATGAGACGAATGTTGGGTTTTGTCTGTTTGGTTTTTTGAGGAGGGTGGCACAGAGGAAAAAAATTGTCATCCCTCTAAAATAACTATCATAAAAAAATAGGAAGAGTATGTAAAGGGAACAGTAGTGGCAGCCTTTAGGGAAAATGGAACAGAGACGAGCAATAAACAAAGTTCATGTATTACATACGTTTTAAAAGTAAAAACAAAAACAAAAACTACATAATAATAGTCTATTGGAAACACTGTTTAAAAATCACGTAAATCTCTGTGTATTTGATGTTACAAACATATGTATGTGTGAAAGAAAGTCAGATAAGAGCAAAAATCAGCTTGGGTTAGTAATGATTTTTTCCCTTAAATTTCTTTAAGGCTACTGTAGTATTTTTTAACAAAAGTATGAAATTACTGTTTGCATTTTTAAATTTTCACTTTACTACTCAAACATTGATGAGATTATTCCATGAAAACACAATTTTATTTCCTTTATTAAAAAGTAACTATACAGTCAGATTTCTTTTCTTCTAAACATTTACAATTTACAAGGTCAGGTTCTCATTTTGGGGCAGGTGTGTTCATCTCTAATTGAAGGCAAGTTACAGCGTATTTTAAAGACACAATTTTAATTTTTTCAACCACATTAATAAACTTAAACATATTTATTATTTGTTTATCAAAGTTAACAGCAACAAAGTTTTTGTGCTTAATAATTATTTTGGGGAAATGTGCCACTCTATTTTAGGGAGACACGGGCCAGAATTAAGCAAAAATCCTAATATTTACATTTGATTTCAACAACTTTAATAAAGTTTCTTTATTATTATACTTTAGTAATAAATATAGAGAAATTATTTCTATGGAAGGAGGAGTCCTCTTTGCTTTTACTATCATAGTTATAAATATGAAAATATGTTTAGATAACAAGATGGTAAACACAAAAATCTAAAAATATATCTAGTCATGCAACTGATGCCATCTTTACCTTCTACTTCTGCTTTATTCGTAGACAATAAAATAAAATGTTTTATCCAATTCATAAATCATTTCTCAGTTTATAATAAATTAGTACAGAGGAAGATAGCATACCTTCTAGAGCCTTAGAAGAAATTACTATTAAATTTTTCAATAATTGAGGACATTTGCCTGTTCTTGTCTTTTTATATAAGTGAGGTTATACAATGGTTGTTCTTTTGTGATTGACTTATTTCACTCAGTATAATGTCTTCAAGCTCCAT